GAATGCCGTGTATGTGATCTATGCTCTGTGTGTAGATTACAGAATGCCGTGTATGTGATCTATGCTCTGTGTGTGGATTACAGAATGCCGTGTATGTGATCTATGCTCTGTGTGTGGATTACAGAATGCCGTGTATGTGATCTATGCTCTGTGTGTAGATTACAGAATGCCGTGTATGTGATCTATGCTCTGTGTGTAGATTACAGAATGCCGTGTATGTGATCTATGCTCTGTGTGTAGATTACAGAATGCCGTGTATGTGATCTATGCTCTGTGTGTGGATTACAGAATGCCGTGTATGTGATCTATGCTCTGTGTGTAGATTACAGAATGCCGTGTATGTGATCTATGCTCTGTGTGTAGATTACAGAATGCCGTGTATGTGATCTATGCTCTGTGTGTAGATTACAGAATGCCGTGTATGTGAACTATGCTCTGTGTGTAGATTACAGAATGCCGTGTATGTGACCTATGCTCTGTGTGTAGATTACAGAATGCCGTGTATGTGACCTATGCTCTGTGTGTAGATTGCAGAATGCCATGTATGTGACCTATGCTCTGTGTGTAGATTACAGAATGCCGTGTATGTGACCTATGCTCTGTGTGTAGATTACAGAATGCCGTGTATGTGATCTATGCTCTGTGTGTAGATTACAGAATGCCGTGTATGTGATCTATGCTCTGTGTGTAGATTACAGAATGCCGTGTATGTGATCTATGCTCTGTGTGTAGATTACAGAATGCCGTGTATGTGATCTATGCTCTGTGTGTAGATTACAGAATGCCGTGTATGTGATCTATGCTCTGTGTGTGGATTACAGAATGCCGTGTATGTGATCTATGCTCTGTGTGTGGATTACAGAATGCCGTGTATGTGATCTATGCTCTGTGTGTAGATTACAGAATGCCGTGTATGTGATCTATGCTCTGTGTGTAGATTACAGAATGCCGTGTATGTGATCTATGCTCTGTGTGTGGATTACAGAATGCCGTGTATGTGATCTATGCTCTGTGTGTGGATTACAGAATGCCGTGTATGTGATCTATGCTCTGTGTGTAGATTACAGAATGCCGTGTATGTGATCTATGCTCTGTGTGTAGATTACAGAATGCCGTGTATGTGATCTATGCTCTGTGTGTAGATTACAGAATGCCGTGTATGTGATCTATGCTCTGTGTGTAGATTACAGAATGCCGTGTATGTGATCTATGCTCTGTGTGTAGATTACAGAATGCCGTGTATGTGATCTATGCTCTGTGTGTAGATTACAGAATGCCGTGTATGTGATCTATGCTCTGTGTGTAGATTACAGAATGCCGTGTATGTGATCTATGCTCTGTGTGTAGATTACAGAATGCCGTGTATGTGATCTATGCTCTGTGTGTAGATTACAGAATGCCGTGTATGTGATCTATGCTCTGTGTGTAGATTACAGAATGCCGTGTATGTGACTATGCTCTGTGTGTAGATTACAGAATGCCGTGTATGTGATCTATGCTCTGTGTGTAGATTACAGAATGCCGTGTATGTGACCTATGCTCTGTGTGTAGATTACAGAATGCCGTGTATGTGACTATGCTCTGTGTGTAGATTACAGAATGCCGTGTATGTGAACTATGCTCTGTGTGTAGATTACAGAATGCCGTGTATGTGACCTATGCTCTGTGTGTAGATTACAGAATGCCGTGTATGTGACCTATGCTCTGTGTGTAGATTACAGAATGCCATGTATGTGACCTATGCTCTGTGTGTAGATTACAGAATGCCGTGTATGTGACCTATGCTCTGTGTGTAGATTACAGAATGCCGTGTATGTGATCTATGCTCTGTGTGTAGATTACAGAATGCCGTGTATGTGATCTATGCTCTGTGTGTAGATTACAGAATGCCGTGTATGTGAGCTATGCTCTGTGTGTAGATTACAGAATGCCGTGGCAATCAGTCTCTAACAGCATACAGTGAATCCCCCCAAGAACGAGACAAGGCTCCGGTGTTGAGGGTCAAGCAGTGGTCTGTTTAATGAGGGCTACCTGCCCAGTATTTATGCAGGTCTCCCACCTGGTGGACACTCCCCTAGGGGACCAAATGGGAGACTGTGACAAGGGAGAGACAATTAGACAAATAGGACACACAGTCACAGTATATTCCCACAATGCATCCTGGCTTCCTCCCCTCTGCCCTGGGAGATAATTGAGAAGTAACTCAATTATCTCCCAAGACAAAGGCAAAACTCCATTACACATGTGGGGACACAAAACCAGTATTATACTTTAAAATACATAAAGTAACATTTATTACATAAAACACAGACATTTAACATATCCCCAGATAGCTCATGTCTGAGTGCACATTATTAGGTGAATGGCACTCAGACCACACAAATACAGTTTAATTGCCATGGAGCCAAAGTCTTTACAGTCAGTTTCATACGAATGGGCTCCATGGGATTCCTATCTGGGGTATAACACATTCAACCAAAACTACCGAACACCGGGCCGTTCGTGCACTTCCACCGAACAAGAAGGGAGGTCGGCGGCTTCAGCGGTGTTCGCGCAAAACTGTGTCCGATTTTAGTTCCATGAAAATAGGGGCGAACACCGCTGTGCATTCGTATGTTTAAAATGGCCGCGACCTCGTGTTTGGGATACGAATGGCGGCCACCCAGCATTCGTCAATTAAGCTGCGGTTAACCGCAGCTTCAGGGAGGTTAATTGCTGGCACACTCCAGCTCCCAGGTGGTCTATTCATTCGTGCGGTTGTTCGGTAGATTGAATCTACCGAACAACCGGCAGAAAAGCACGAATACAGCTTTTCTGCAGGCAAAATAAAGTCTTTTAAAAGGGGGCCATAGTCCAGAGGCAGCAGGCAAGCAACCAGGCTTCTCCAATGCAATGTGGCGAGATTGGTCTCGTCACACCGTGTATGTGATCTATGCTCTGTGTGTAGATTACAGAATGCGGTGTATGTATTTAATCTATGCTCTCTGTATTATCTATGCTCGGTGGAGATTAGATTGTTGTGTATATTTGCTGTGCTCTGTGTGTTTGTCAGATTACTGAATACTCTGTATATATTTTTTGTTCTCTTTATGTTATATTAGACTCCTTCTCATTTTGGTCTTTTATTACAGAAGTCTCTGGAAGCATTTCCGTGGCCTCAGCATGTGCCTCTTCCTCTTGCTATTCCCATGCTACATGGCGTACAAGATCTCCCACTTTTTCCATATGGATTTTTGGCTGTTGATCCTGGTCTCCAGCTGCATGCTCACCTCTCTGCAGGTAACTGGAACGTCCCATTATTACCCTAACTGCATGTCTGGGGGCTGGAGTCCACTCACCAGACCATTCTATTAGTTGCTCCATTCTCCTCCTGCACACTCTGTGCACGTGTGCTCTGAAATTGTATAGAGAGGTCACCTTCTCACAACCACGCACACCCCATACTGCTGCCACTTGCTGTAACGATCATAACAAATCATATGTTTAACGTTTGTAACTGGGATGGTACCCGCAACTATATTGTAAGGAATAGAGTCAAAATTTCTTCCATACTTTGTGTTGGCAGGACTGCCTGGCAACGAATAGATGTTTTTCATTATATATAAAAAACGTATGGTAACGTATAGTGAGGTAGTGTTCAAGTTTTAGATGTTTTATAGATACAATCTCAGTGATAATTTGCCTTTCGTGGCAAAACATCATGGAAGTTGTAACCTTTGAGGTCATGGCCATTCTCCTGCATCTCATTGTTCCTATTTTCAACCTTTAAATCATAACAGATGTCATTGTTCCGATAGGGGAGTGATAGTAAGGAAGCCGGTATGTCCGTGTTAATGAGGTAATTTCCCAAGCTAGGTGACTCAGGTAGGTGGGGGCAGGATGGAAGTGGGGTTGCGTTTATGCATCCTTAGAAAAGTAATGGTGGAGTTGCCTTTGGTGCTGAAGAAGGGGTATGTATCTGACATCTTAATCAATTAAAATGTAACTTATCCAAAGATAAAATATATTTGTTTGGCATAAGGTGATTGCTTAAACTGAAGCTATATCTATTTTAATAGACAATGGAACCAGTTTAATTTGTTTTGTTCCCCCTGAGTTAAAGTAAAGTGTATTTTACATTTGTGCTATCGGTGTCAAACCTTTACTCGATTTTATTCCTAGGTTTTGGGAACCCTGTTTATCTACACCTTATTTGTGATCGAGCTTTTCCAGGACAGCCGGGTGGAGATGATGGATGAGATAATATACTGTGTGAACGCAGTGAGCCGTGTGCTGGAGTTCTTGGTGGCATTGTGTGTCGTTGCTTACGGCTCCTGGGAGTCGATCTTTGGAGAGTGGAGCTGGATGGGTGTCTCTGTTATCATTGTCCATTCTTATTTCAATGTCTGGCTACGAGCACAATCTGGCTGGAAAAGCTTCCTACTGAGGAGAGAGGCCGTTAAAAAGATAAATGCCTTGCCCAAAGCCACCATGCTGCAGCTGAGGGCCCATAATGATGTGTGCTCCATCTGTTTCCAGGTAACACTGTGGGAATGGGGTTCAGAAACCAGAGGAAAACCATTCCTACATGTTGATAAAGAGAAATATCTGTCCTGCCTCAACTCGTGTAAAATATGTCCTATAACAAGATCTACAAAATTATGGCTTTGGAAGAGTCTTCTGTGTTACGTGTGCACTGTGTCATTTTAACACATGCATTTGGTGATTCTTAGGCCTTGGTTACTGAGCTGTCACTGATTGTTAGTGCCAATTTAAGATCACATTTCAGCCACAAATTACAACACAGTCATGGATTGTGAGCACTGGTGTATGATGTCGTATCTCGTAACATTACCGGGTTAACATGCAGTATGAACAATGGTGTTATGATGTCATACCTCGTCCCATTACTGTGTTGGCATGCAATATGAACAATGGTATATGACATCATACCTCATCTCATTACCTTGTTAGCATGCAGTATGAACAATGGTGTTATGATGTCATTCCTCATCCCATTACTGTGTTAGCATGCACTGGTGTATGATGTCATATCTCTGTCCATTACTTTGTTAGCATACAATGTGAACACTGGTTTATGACATCATACTTCTATCCATTTCTGTTTTAGCATGACCTGTGGCGACGTTTGTATGATGTCATACCTATGCCCATTGAGTTATCATGCAGTGTGAGCACTGTTTTATATCATCCCTCAATCCTCAGTTACTGTGCTCTGATCCACTGTGATATAGGCTTATGATATCATACCTGGTCACGTGCTGTAAGTTCTGGTATATTGGACATGTTTTGGTATTTGTATATCAATGAAGTGTCTGTAGGGCAAGGAGCTTGTTTAGATATTTCATAACTGTAGTTGTCCAATCAGATACTTCTTGTAGATAAGGTTTAGGTTTTTTTTTTTCCACTAATCCAATGCCTTTCAATGGGAATCAGTGAATTAATAACTGAATCTATTGGTGTCAGAAGCCTCTATAGGCCGTTTGTCTGACAACCACTAATTTGCATAGGGCTTGGCAAATGTAAACCGAGCCAATACTGATAAACTGTACAACAGCAAGGCTGCAGGGGACACCTCTACACCTCAGATTCACTCATGAAGACCAGTGTGTTTTTGAGTAAATGTTCACTTAACATTGTTTTTGGTCTTGATCTTGTAGGACATGACTGTCTCAGTGATCACTCCCTGCAACCACTTCTTTCATGGGGATTGCTTACGGAAATGGTTCTACGTACAAGACACATGCCCCATGTGCTTCCAGCAAGTGAAGCCAGATGTACTAAGTAGCAGTGATAGAGAATCAGAGGCAGACAGTGAAAATGGAGAAGATGATTTTGAACACCTAATATCCGAGGCAGAAGAAGACACGGACTCCACTGAAGTGAAAGTGACTAAGATAGGTGTAAACGAATGTGGTGAAGAGTGTAGGAATGAAATTAGCACTAATGAAGACGTACAAATGGAGAGTGAATTGATGGGAACCCATAAAAGGGTGCAAGCAGTAGATGCAGAAGTTGGAGAGAAAAACAAAGGGGTTGAAAATACTCAAGAAAAACTGGATGAAGAGTTAGTTTGGGGTGAAGTCGAGGGTCTGCATGATACGACCGTTACTTGGGATTGATGTGATCATGTTGACTGCTAGTAAAGTGGATAAATGCCTGGCATGCGAGATGTGCCCCACAGTACCCTATTTTCGGGAACTGGGTAAGATGTAGCTTGGTTGGTTTATGATTGCCAATGCTAAAAGGGGTAAGCTGAGGTTGGTCAGTAACTGGCACTGCGAAAGGGTAAACTGAGGTTGGTCAGTAACTGGCACTAAGAAAGGGTAAACTGAGATTGGTCAATAACTGGCACTAAGAAAGGGTTAACTGAGATTGGTCAGTAACTGGCACTAAGAAAGGGTAAACTGAGATTGGTCAATAACTGGCACTAAGAAAGGGTTAACTGAGATTGGTCGATAACTGGCACTGCGAAGGGGTAAACTGAGATTGGTCAATAACTGGCACTGAGAAAGGGTAAACTGAGATTAGTCCATGAGTGCCAAGTATAAAGGTCTAAGCTGTGATTGGTCAGTAACTGACACTGAGAAAAGAGGGTAAGCCGAGCTGGGTCTCTGATTGCCAGGGGTAAAGGGCTAAGTTAAACTTGGTCATTGGTTGCCAGTGTAAGTAAATCCCACAGAACAGTTGACAGACTGCGGAAATCATCAGTTTCTCCAGTTGTGGTGTGAGCAAGTTCCCTAAAAAAAAACCTTTGCACAAGAAACATGTATTAATGAAGTGAAACGGCGCTGGAAGCCAATAAATGATAAGAGAGAAGATATATATAGCAAGAGATGAAGTTTCAAAATAATAAGAGGTGCTACTCCAGTATAAGGAGATTGTAAAAATCTGCTTGTTGTAATCAGCCTAACTACTACTGACCATCGTATGGAGGAAACGTAGCCTACCTCATACGCAATGAATTACTAGACCTGCAGAGTTACAGGTTTACCACCATCTGCTTCCATGCTGCATTGATAGGACAGCTCCACTTAAGTGTAGAACAGTGGGGGCTCGGTTAGTGCCCACTGTATTTATAGAAAACCTAGAAAGACATACTGGAGGCTATATAATCATCTCATTGAATAATGAACGGACTCTTCTACAGGAGCTGTGTCTGAATCCACACGCTGTAAGTCCTAGTCTTTAAATCCTCCCAACATGCAAGGTATCTGGAACTCCTTAAGTGAAGACCAATGATGACCGGTTCGTTGTGTGCTCATGTAAGGGGATTCCATAAACCTGCAGTACTGAGAGGGGCTAAACACCTGTGTAATGAAGGAACATCTGTTCATTTCATACAGTAAAAATATCAAATCACTTGCAGTTCTGGAGTAAGGAACAAGACAAACACTGACAAGTGGCCTTACAGCAGATACAAATCTGGAGGACCTATGGACTTTTCCTTTGCTCTCTGCTAGCCTTTTTATTCTCACCTGGAGTGACTTATTTTGTTATACCCTGCTGCCTTTTTCCTCCTATTATGCAAACCTGAAAGTGATGAATTTATAAATAAAACTTAAAAAAAAAAGTTGTATGTTTTGACTCCTTATTTTAATTTATTTTCATCATTTGATTTTAACCAGTTTGACCCTTCCAATATACCTTAATCTTGAATTTGCAAATGTCTTTCCTCTGCTTTCTTCCTTGATTGATTTTTCTCTCATCAATATCCGTGTGCTTCTCCTATCCACTACTGCTGTTTTATCTAACCCTAAACTCTTACAGCCTGTGTCCCAAACAGCAATAATACGTTTTCACTCGGGACTCCAAGCTATCAAGTCTTGCAGCCAAAGCCATATTCAGAGGTAGCATTTCCCTACTTCCTTTCAAATAATATCCCATACCAAAAAAGAAAAATGTAAAAATCAATAAAATCTAAATAAAAAAATAAAGTTAAAAATTCACAATTTGTTTCACCTATGCAATAGGCTTACCAAGTGAATTACAGAGGTTCCCAACACACTTGGTTATATAGGGCAATGTAAAATTTAAAATCTGGGGTAAAATTACATGATTGCAATTGTGACCAATAAAGGATGCCATTATTAACAATAAGCACATATAAAAAGCAGGTGAAGTTCTCACTGATAACTTTGCTCTTTTACTGATAAGATTAATCTGTTGAGGAATTAATTCTTCCCCCTTTGCTTCTCTCTCTCTCAAACACACATAGACTGTGCCTATTCAACCCTCCAGGCTTTCTCCTCAACTCCTGAACATGAGGTGGCTGCGCTTCTCCTTTCCTGTCGCCCCACTATTTAGCCACTTTATTCCATTCCATCCCTCCTTATCATATCTCTCTCCCCTTGTCTTGTTCTGTGATTCTTCTTTACAAGTCTGGTATGCTTTCTTAACTCCAACTCTCTTCCAGACCCTCTTCAATGTGGCTTCGACCCTCTCCTTTCTACTGAGCCTGTTCTAATTAAAGTAATCAACAATATAATTGAGGCTAAATCCAAAGGCCACTACTCCATACTGATTCTTCTAGACCTCTCTGCTGTCTTTCACATTGTGGATTATCCTCTCTGCAAACTCTTACATTCCTCGGTCTCTGTGACAGTCCTTTCAAGGTTCTCCTATCTCTCTCCACGTTCACTTAGTGTCTCCTTTTCTAATTACACCTCCTTCCCTAATTCTGTCTTGGCCAGAGTACCCCAAGGTTTTGTTCTTGGTCCCCTTTTGTTTTCTCTTTACACTGTCTCTCTTGGCATACTGATTAATTCATTTGAATTCAGCTGCCACCTATATGCTGATGATACCCAGATATGTCTGTCCTCCCCTGATCTCTGTTCTAGAACGTGTCACTGGTTGCCACTCTTCCATCTCTGATTGGATGTCCTCCCGCTTTCTATATACAAAAAAAAAAACCACAATAACTTGCACTCCATGGTAGCAAAAGCTGCTATGCCTGGTGCTTCTCTGCAATAGGTACAGTACTGTTCAAATAATAGCACTCCATGGACTTCCCCTGTGGTTTAAATTAAACTTTTACATTTTATTTAACTTTTCATTTAAAAAAAAAAAATGTGTTTTTCTTAAATCTTACTGTACTGTACAGACCTTCGTAGAGTATTTTTATTCAATGAACCACTTGGTGGCAGTGTTGTAATACAGCTGATTCAGTATTGTCAAAGAAGATTCTACAGTTCAACTAATACACTAATTGATATAGCAAACCCCATCCAGGATGTGCCACAAGTGACATGATCCTTTATTGGCTGTGATTAGGTCATTTGGTTCCTATTAGTTACAATACTCTGCAATAAAACTCAAGGAATTGCCTATCACTGAGGAAGCCCACTCATGTCATATATATAAAAAAGTTAAATTCTTTTCTCTTTAATGTTTCTCCAAACACACCATGTAGAGGGAACATGTTACTGTGATACACTGCATCGTGTGACATATACACTGCTCAAAAAAACAAAGAGAACACAAAAATAACACATCCTAGATCTGAATGAATTCAATATTCTTCTAAAATACTTTGTTCTTTACATAGTTGAATGTGCTGACAACAAACTCACACAAGAATAAAAAAATGGAAATCAAATTTTTCAACCCATGGAGGTCTGGATTTGGAGTCACACTCAAAATTAAAGTGGAAAAACACACTACAGGCTGATCCAACCTTGATGTAATGTCCTTAAAACAAGTCAAAATGAGGCTCAGTATGTGTGTGGCCTCCACGTGCCTGTATGACCTCCCTACAATGCCTGTCCATGCTACTGGTGAGGTGGCGGATGGTCTCCTGAGGGATCTCCTCCCAGACCTGGACTAAAGCATCTGCCAGCTCCTGTACGGTCTGTGGTGCAACGTGATGTCCCAGATGTGCTCAATTGGATTCAGGTCTGGGGAACGGGCGGGCCAGTCTATAGCATCAATGCCTTCGTCTTGCAGGAACTGCTGACACACATTCCAGCCACATGAGGTCTAGCATTAGGAGGAACCCAGGGCCAACCACACCAGCATATGGTCTCACAAGGGGTCTGAGGATCTCATCTCGCTACCTAATGGCAGTCAGGCTACCTCTGGCGAGTACATGGAGGGCTGTGTGGCCCCCAAAGAAATGCCACCCCACACCATTACTGACCCACTGCCAAACTGATCATGCTGGAGGATGTTGCAGGCAGCAGAACGTTCTCCACAGCGTCTCCAGACTCTGTCAAGTCTGTCACATGTGCTCAGTGTGAACCTGCTTTCATCTGTGAAGAGCACAGGGCGCCAGTGGCGAATTTGCCAATCTTTATGTTCTCTGGCAAATGCCAAACGTCCTGCACAATGTTGGGCTGTAAGCACAACTCCCACCTGTGGACATTGGGCCATCATACCACGCTCATGGAGTCTGTTTCTGAGCAGACACATGCACATTTGTGGCCTGCTGGAGGTCATTTTGCAGGGCTCTGGCAGTGCTCCTCCTGTTCCTCCTTGCACAAAGGAGGAGGTAGCAGTCCTGCTGCTGGGTTGTTGCCCTCCTACGGCATCCTCCACGTCTCCTGATGTACTGGCCTGTCTCCTGGTAGCACCTCCATGCTCTGGACATTACGCTGACAGACACAGCAAACCTTCTTGCCACAGCTCGCATTGATGTGCCATCCTGGATGAGCTGCACTACCTGAGACACTTGTGTGGGTTGTAGACTCTGCCTCATGCTACCACTAAAGTGAAAGCACCTCCAGCATTCAAAAGTGACCAAAACATCAGCCAGGAAGCATAGGAACTGAGAAGTGGTCTGTGGTCACTACCTGCAGAACCACTCCTTTATTGGGGGTGTCTTGCTAATTGCCTATAATATCCACCTGTTGTCTATCCCATTTGCACAACAATATGTGAAATTGTCACTCAGTGTTGCTTCCTAAGTGGACAGTTTGATTTCACAGAAGTGTGATTGACTTGGAGATACATTGTGTTGTTTGAGTGTTCCCTTTATTTTTTGAGCTGTGTATATAGAGAACCAATTACTGCGATACACTGCATGGTGTGAGATATATATTGTATATAGAGAACCAGTTACTGTGATACACTGCATGGTGTGAGATATATATTGTATATCGAGAACCAATTTGTAGCAGAACCCCTTTGGCTGTCCAATACATTCCCTTCATAATGTTACTGTTGAAACCTAGAAGTGTTCCTGTGAATGTATTATAAAGATTTTCCTTTAACTATATGTGGCCATACCAAGATTCATTAAGTTGTTCGGTAAAAAGCTGTACAAGTCTGCATGTGAACTGCTGTATTCACCATCCAAACTAAAGTACCGAACAAGCGGACCACCCTGATGTGAAGGGTGGCTGTAATTTACCTCCCTGTATGCTCGTTACATTCCCCTTGTTAAAACACACGAACGCTCAGCTGTATTCCCTGGGTGGCCGCCATTTCGGCAGCTGAACACGTGGCGGCAGCCATCTTAAACCCACGAACAGCGGTATTTGGTTGTCGCGTGTCTGGAACTCAAATCGGACACTCAACTAACTGAACACCGCTAAGACCTCCAGGGCTTCAGAAAGTGCCGACGGAAACTCATGAACGGCCCGTCGTTCAGTAGGATGAATCCCACGAACCAGGGGATTCATCCGAATGCTGATTCAACCCTGGATGGCATATACTTTCGGGACTTTTATGCACGAACAGAGACCGACCGCAGGGCCAAAACTCATGGAACTATTTTCGGCTATTTTGCCCGTGCGGTCGGTCAAATCTTTGCTTCCACATAACTCCCGAACCCCTGGTCTGATCTGGGTGATTTTTGAATATGTTTCTCACCCAGATCAGGGCTACCAGGGGGTACCACATTTAAAGGTGTACCTACCATATTTGGGGTACATCCAAGAATTGGAAAAAAGTATGCATATTATAATTTATGTTAACTGTTAAGCTGAAGGGAGGAGATGTGTGGGAGGTAACGTCTATGTGATTGGTTACTATAATAATTATGGTGGGTGTCTCCCTTGCATGGGAGAATCACATAAAAACAGGGATTGTGCCATTAAACCTCAGTTCTACTTCTGATCCTGTGTGTCGTCCAGTTATTGGGAAAGGTGATGGGATATTATTGGATTGCCTTGCTGATTGTGCTTGTTACCCTATTGGATTTACTACTTGTTCATGAATTATTCTAATTCACCAGTGGAGTTAAGCTGTGGGAAATCAGCTCTCCGCTACACAATTACTGCGATACATTGCATGGTGTGAGATATACAGTTGCAAGAAAAAGTATGTGAACCCTTGGATTTAATAACTGGTTGAACCTCTTTTGGCAGCAATAACTTCAACCAAACGTTTCCTGTAGTTGCAGATCAGACGTGCACAACGGTCAGGAGTAATTCTTGACCATTCCTCTTTACAGAACTGTTTCAGTTCATCAATATTCTTGGGATGTCTGGTGTGAATCGCTTTCTTGAGGTCATGCCACAGCATCTCAATCGGGTTGAGGTCAGGACTCTGACTGGGCCACATCAGAAGGCATATTTTCTTCTGTTTAAGTCATTCTGTTGTTGATTTAGTCGGCGAGCATTGCATTTCCCT